GCCACACAAGAAGGCAGCTCATGGATGTTTCTCTCTCATCAATGTTTCTAACGCGCTATCCTTCTTCCTTCCTCTCTGTAAAAAATCAATAAAATATACTTTAAAAAAAAAAAGATTTATGTGGCCAAAACAAGAAAATAATCCTTAAAAAATAAAAAGGGATGCAAGGTCGAGGGTTTCCCCTCAGCTGATCCCTCAATGACTCCCAGTGCTCCCAGTGGTCACTCCCAACCACTGACCTCCCGTCTTCTTCAGAGAGAAAACACAGCTCCTCAGGTGTGACTGATCTGTACCAGGCATCCTCTTTTTATAAGCCTACTTATTTCCTTCCTTTTCTCTCAAAATAAAGAAGCCATGGCTCTAAATCCTTTCGGGGATCTTGCTGTAGGACTCCCCTTTTTATCTTTCATCTTTTATCTCTTCTGTCTCTTCACCCTTAATCTGTAAACATGTTCAAGTATACCGCCTACAAAAAAATAATAAAAATAACACAAAAAAATCCTTTAATCTTAATCCACTTTTAACTCCATAATTTTGGCCACTGTCTCACTCTGTGATCCTGGTTAAACTGCTTACTTTCTCTAGCAGGCTCGAATTTCCGCATCTAAGTAATGATGGCACTGGCCCAGAAAGTCTCAAAGTTCCTCCGGCTCCAACATTCTGTGGTTCTTCATGTAGTGAAGCTTTCGTAGACCAGGGTTAGTTTCTTTACTGCCCCGTGAAGCCCCGAAGCTAATTTTTTTTCTGAGACTGTCAAGCTGTTTCACAGCCAGCGATGCTCGGCTCTTTCTCTCCGTTCATTTTCCTTTAAGACCCAGCTTGAACCTCATCTGTTCTTGGATCGCCTGATCTTAACTCTTAGAGAACTTCAATCATAGACTGTAACTGAGCACTCTCCATCGACGGCGCCTTATCTTTCATATTACTGTTCCCTCACCTAGACAGCTTTCAGTGAGCAGGGACTAGGTCACGCTTCTCTGTAACCCCTAGAGGACCTCACACTGAGTAGGTCTGCAATAGCTGCACAGCAGTGCGAGCTGGCTGGCTGAGGGGCCACCCTGCAGCCATTAAGAAAACTAGTGGTCAGTGTATATTACAAGACTCCCTGGCTGTGAAGGAAGAGCATCTCTATCTTCCACTTCTCCCTCATATGCACATTTATAAAACATTTGTCATTCAAGAGCGTCATCCAAATTTAGCAACAGGAAAGCTTAGCTAACTCCTTGATTTTCTCTTATCTGAATCAGACTAGGACATAGTCATGTTTGACTTTGACCCAAACTTAAGTGATCACAAGCCCTGTAACTTTATGGGCCTCTGGGTACAGGGGGCTCCACACTTCCACTAATACACACACTCCATGCTTATGAAGTTCCCTTACTTTACCACACACGTAGCATTAGGTTACTTCCTCACTCTGGCAACCAAATTTTCAGGAAACATCTGGGTTAATACCAGAGAGCTGGTATTTGATCAAAACTACATCCTCAACTTTATTCATTTGGAAAAGACTAATTTCAACCTTTAGGTTTGAACTGAGCACAGATGGATGTGTGTTTCAGGAATCTAATTGGTTTAGAGTGAGACTTAGACATCAGTATTTTCTTTAAAAGCAGCTCAACTATACTGAATGAAGGTATTGTTCTTAAATATATTAGGTATGATAATAGCATTGTGACTGTGTTTTTTAAAAGTTCTTCATTGGTGGGAAAACTGGTGAAATTCAAATAAGATCTTTGTTTAGTTAATAGTATTGTAACAGTGTTAATTTCCTGGTTTTGATCATTGTATTTAGGATTCTGTAAGATGCTCACTTTAGAGGAAGCTGTGTGAGGGGTATACAGGAACTCTCTGAACTACTGTTGTGACTTTTCTCTAAGTCTAAAATTGATTCAGATTAAAAAGTTTTTAAAAAAAGAGTTCTTTACTTTTAAAGATACATACTTAAATATTTATGAATGAAATTATATGCTTGAGATTTACTGCAAAATAGACCAGTTGAGAAGGTGACAGGAAGTGGGTAGGGTATGGATGGACCAGGAGTGTTGACATGTTCATGCCTGCAGTAGGTGGGCGCTGAGTACATGACAGTTCACAGTATTTATCTACTTCAGGGTGTGTGTAAAACTTTCCGTCATCTATACTGGAGGAAAAATTCCCAGGTGATTCTGACACATATTCAGGGCCAAGAAACACTGCTCTGAGTCTTGAAAATGTATAATGAGAAGCTCTGTGTTATACTACCAGCTACAAACTACTTTACCAGCTCTTTAAAAACGAGCTGGTAAAAACGTCTATCTTTCTTACTACACTTTCCTAAACTACAGAATGACAGATATGGATTAGAGAATCTTTCAAAAAGAAAACAAAAAGCATTAAAAGTTGTATTTTTCTAAAGTTGTCTCTCTGAAAGTTAATGTCACAGTTAATTTCTAACACAATAGTAAAAAATGGTAAAGTCTTTCTTATGTCTACAAGGGCATTTCCCAAAGAAGTTTCTTTAAAAATGCTATTTCTATAAGATGTTAATAGATGTTACCTAATAAAAGGGTCCTGAGATCAAAAAGTTTGAACAGTGCTGAAACCGGTTTGGCTCAGTGGATAGAGCGTTGGCCTGTGGACTGAAAGGTCCCGGGTTAGATTCCCGGTCAAGGGCATGTACCTTGGTTGCGGGCACACCTTCAGTAGGAGGTGTGCAAGAGGCACAATTCTCTCATCAATGTTTCTAACTCTCTATCCCTCTCTTTTCCTCTCTGTAAAAAAATCAATAAAATATATATTTTAAAAAAAAGTTTGAACAGTGCTGGCTTATTGTAAGATTCCTAAGAACTTTTAACAAGAAAATATGCATTGTGACTGTCCAAGGTAGTGATGGAATATGCAAAAAGTTTGATTTTCCTTACATGAATTAGTGCTATAGAACTTATTTTGGAAAATAGTCCTGTAGATCAGTGAATTCCAAATCCCAGGTAATGGAGAATGGCTGCAGAATCACTTGGTAAAATTATTAAAATAATGATTCACAAACCACAAACTAGACAATTAGGGGGACAAGAAAACTCACTAAAACAAACAAAAACCCAAGTGATTCTAATACAATCCTGTTTGGGACTAGAAGCTATGTAGATAGATCATAATGTAATAAAATAATTTATACCATTTCAAAGGCCACATCAATACCAGCCAATTTGAAAGTCTACCAAGTAAAAGACTTCCATATATGTATACATTTTATGAAAGAAAGGTGTTGATATGCTGGAAGTTGTGGCAAATTCAAATCTACCAATATAACTGATGATTACTTTGTCATTTCAAGGATGTACTATGTTCATTTCCAACAAATAATTTGCTGTGATTCACAACCTTTTCTACTTATGTGTTACCGCATGTCAATCTTCTTCTCTGGCCTGAGTCAATGACCAGAACTATTTTGTTAAACAGGGGGTGTCATTCACATAAATGGTTTCTCCAAGATAGATAGACCTTTTCTTTTCTTTATATGACATATTTTAAGGTGTCAGGAATATAAACCCCTTCTTGAGTGAAAACTTTGAAAAATGTATTTACTTATACCTTTGTGCACCCAGAGCTGTGCCATGCAATGGCCTGGTAAGTGATACTTTTCAATGCTTAAAAGAAGTACCTGCTTACTGTTATTAACGATTACTCAGCTTCTTACCGTGCTCTTTAGTTATCTTGTTTCTTTCCTTACAAAACCTTGTGGGTCAATTGCTTCCATTCAATAAGAATTACTGAGCTTTTCATGTGTTAACACAGTGAAAAATATAATTTTTAGGGAGATGTCAAGACTCCTACTCTCAAAGAACTGATACCCTATTTGAAAATAAAATATAAATTACATAAAGGAACAAGCAAAAGTGATTTTGAAGATATAATGTTAGTTAGAGCAAATTAGTATGGCAGGACTTTAGACATACTATGAAGAGCTAACCCCTACTTTAAATAAGTCAGTCAGAGGAAGACAAATAACATATGATTTCACTTACAAGTGGAATCTAAATAACAAAAATAAATGAACAAACAAAATAAAAACAGACTCATCGATGCAGAGAACAGACTGATGGCTGCCAGAGGGGAGAAAAGTTGGGGGACTGAGTGAAAGGGTGAAGAAGGTAAGAAGCACAGATTGGCCCTAACCAGTTTGACTCAGTGGATAGAGCGTTGGCCTGCAGACTAAAAGGACCAGGTTCGATCCGGTCAAGGGCATGTACCTTGGTTGTGGGCACATCCCCGGTAGGGGGTGTGCAAGAGGCAGCTGGTCGACGATTCTCTCTCATCAATGTTTCTAACTCTCTATCCCTCTCTCTTCCTCTCTGTAAAAAATCAATTAAATATATTTTTTTTAAAAATCAATAATATATACATAAAAGAAGCACAGGTTGGAAGTTGTAAGGTACAGAATAGGGAATATACTCAATAATATTGTAATAACTATGTAATAACTATGTATGTATGTATGGAGTTCCCAGGTGGGTACTGGAACTATTAGGGGGAACTCTATATAGAGTATATTATTGGCTAACCACTAAGCTGTACACCTAGAACTGATACAAAATAACACGGAATGTAAACTCTAATTGAAAAGTAAAATTAAATAAATTAAAAAAAAGAGTTAACACTTAACTGAGCAATTTAATTTTTCTTCAACCCTTGGGATAGGTTACTACTTATTAGCCCCATTTTTCAGATGAGGAGAACTGAGACCAGGAGAGGTTAAGTAACTTGCCCAAGCAATAAGTGGTGAACTGGGACTCAATCTCCATATTGGTTTAGCTCGATGGACCACTCTTTCACCATCACATTTTTCTCTTTGAAAAGACAATCCCACAAAGCAATGAGGACAAATGTCAAAGCTCAGATAGAAAAATGACTACTTCCCGTAAAGCTGGGCTCACTAGTTCTACTGCCCAGTAGAAAAGGACTCACGAGACACAGGTAATCACCATAACGCAGCAATGTTATTTTCCTACAATACTTACCTCTTTGATCCGCTTAACCAAAGCATTCTGATCAAAAGCAACAGCCTCTGCACACTGATGGAGGTGATCCTGATATCGGAGGCAGAGCTGCAACACCTGCTGAGAATCCAATTTCTCCAATTTGGCATTTGTTGGGGAAGTCTGGCCACTCAATAGCCCTTCAAAGCAGAAAAAAAGAATGAAATCAAATGAAATGAAAGTTACTGTTAATAAGCTGATGAATAAAGTAGCTCAATAGTAAGTTTACTAAAGACTGGGTAAGAGACCTAAATTTAATGGTGCATCTTTTGTTATATGCTAATGACAATCACAGCAACTATTATTTATGGAGCATCTACTATGTGCCAAGCACTGGCCAAGTGCTTCCTGTGCATTATTATATACTCTTAATCACCACGGAAAACAAAGCATTGTTAGCCCCAATTTACAGATGAGGAGTCCAAGACACAGAGAGGTTAAGTAACCTCCCTAAAGTCACAGAGCTAGTGAGTGGCTTCTCCAAGACAAAACTCCTGACCTTACGGCACCATTTCAAAATATCAGGAATATAAATTCCTTCTTGACTGAAAACTTGGAAGATGTATTTACTAAATTCCTTTTAATAATTCAAATGGTTGACTGAGAAACTGAAAAAAAGAAATAAAATGGATAAGGAAGTTGTTAGGAGGAGATGTAAAATGAAAAAATTTAAAAAGTGAACAGAGTATCATCTGACACAACCATAAACCTCATTCTTCACGTTTTCTTCCAACAAAAGTTTAGTTGTCTAATTACTAAATTCTCTTACATTTGCATAGGACATTCTATTTTCAAAGTTTTTCATATAGAATTATCTCACTTTTCTTTAAAGTATATATAGAACAGGGCAATTATTAGCAATTATAGAAGAAGAAATCAATAAAAGAGGCTAACTGACTTGCCCATGGTCACACAGCAAAATTCTGACTAGAATGCAAGTCCACCAGCTTTTGGCCAAACGCATTCTGGTAATAACACATTTTTTTGCTGTTAGAACTCCATTATCTTTTCAAATATTATTTAAGGACCCCAAAGAGCTGTGGTTTATGTAGTTTATATCAATATTCACCAATTAAAAATTAAGCCGAGAACACTCTTAAATATTTATTAAATCATTTAAAAATAACAATAACTTCATAGAATGTTAACAAAAAAACACACACCCATATTTTAAGAAAAAAGAATTCTGCCGAAACCGGTTTGGCTCAATGGATAGAGCGTTGGCTTGGGGACTGAAAGGTCCCAGGTTCGATTCCGGTCAAGGGCATGTACATTGGTTGCGGGCACATCCCCAGTGGGGGGTGTGCAAGAGGCAGCTGGTCGATGTTTCTCTCTCATCGACGTTTCTAGCTCTCTATCTCTCTCCCTTCCTCTCTGTAAAAAATCAATAAAATATATTTTTAAAAAAAGAAAAAAAAAAAGAAAAAAGAATTCTATTTTCCAAAACAAAAAAAGTGAGAAAAATGGCACTTGTTTATATTTTTCTACGTCTTTTTAATGTCTGGCTTAATAGAATACAGCTGGAGTTTTGTATCCACTTCTATGTTCAATTTGTTGCTCTTTCACATCACGTCACCACTGGAAAACTCTATTGCACACTTGTAAGAGAATGAGAGTAATTAGCAAATGTCTAAATATTATTGTGAAAACTCCCCAGGAGAGTCCCAGGAACCTTAGGAATTCCCCCTACCACACTCTGAGAAGCACTATGCTAGATCATGCTCTACCTCATCTGAGAGCCAATGATACAGCAACAGGTACACAAAAATAAACATGTCTACAGGGTACATGCTGGACATGATGAGAATGAACCTACCCATAGCAAAGGTCATCTTGGGAACCTTTCCCCATTCCTGCCTCCAACCACCAATGTCAAGCCTTCACTGGTTCTGAGGTATGGGAGCCCAAGCCAGTGTTCCTTAGCCCAAGACAGGCTGTGAAATGAGCTGCCCAGTTGGGTGGTCCCAATGAATCCTTGGGAGTGCTAGTCACTGCTCTCAGATCTTCACCTGGCCTGACAGAGCAGAGCGCAGAGATGAATCTGAGGCTCTGTCTCGCTCCCCAACCCCCCAACTGCCAGCACTAGGTCCCTCAGCTGTTCCACTGCTGATCCTAACACCAAGAGCCCAGTTACTCCAGTGGACCTGTCTCTATATAGCAGTTTTTGGTGAAGCTGGTAGTTGCAAAAATGGGAATTTATTTTTCAATTGTACAGGATCTTGTGAATCTATTTACCCAGTCTCCCCGCGAAGGTAAAATCTTGAAAAGCTACAATATAATATCACAACCAGGATATTGACAATGATACAATCTACTGATCTTATTCAGATGTCTCAATTTTACTTACATTCATTTGTGTATGTGTGAGTGCGTGTGCTGACGCACCAGTGTATTTAGTTCTATACAATTTTTTCACACATAGGTTCATGTGTTCACCATCATCATCAGATACTGAGCCATTCCATCGCACAAGGGTTTCTTGTGTTGCTTCTTATAACCACATCTACCTCTCTCTCATCCATAATGATATCCACCTCTCTCTCATCCTTGCTAGGGGGGCATCTTTAACCCCAGCAAACACTAATCTGTTCACTATTTCTAAAACTTTGTCATTTGAAATATGTTTTATACATGGAATAAGATAATATGTAACCTTTGGGGACTGGCTTGTTTTCACCTAACAAAACATATTAGAGATTCATCCAATACATATTGTCGATAGCTTGTTTCTTTCTATTTTCTATGGCATGTATGTACCAGAGCTTGTTTAACCATTCACTCACTGAAGGACATTTGAGTTGTTTCCAGTTTAGGGCTGTTACAAAACTGCTATAAACAGCTGTGTACAGGTTTATGTGTAAACATATGTTTTCATATCTCTGGTATGAATGCCCAAGAGAGCAATTTCTGCATTGTATGTAACTGCATGTTTCGTTTTACAAGAAACTGCCAGTTGTCTAAAGTGCCTCTAATCAAGAAGATGGGATTTTTTTTTTTCCAGAACACTGAAATCTCCTAATATAAATACCAATTTTATAACTGACAAAGAACACAGTCCCAGAAACAGAATTGGGAGGGAAGATACCAAAAGCATTTTGCTGTCAATCCAAGACTGAAGTAGGAAAAGAGTGAGGACACACCATGGAAAGAGGAATGATTTTGTGCCATCAACAGGAGGCCAGGACAATGCAGAGGCCAGAAGGGAAACAATGATAAATTCAACCGTATAAAAATCAAGATTCCCCATGGCAAAAACAGGTTAAAAAGTACACCAAAGTACTGGGAAGAATATTTGCAACTCAATCACAAATGGTAAGCTTCCTCTTACATGTAGAGCTCCCAGAATTGGCAAACAAAAAAATCAGCCAAAAATAGACAAAGGACATGAAAAGGCATTTCACAGAAAAGGATATACCAATGCCTCAACTATAAGAAAAGATGTATAACCTTATTCATCATAAGACAAATAGAAATTAAGTTTATTGCTAGCCCATTTTTCACCCACCAAATTGGTAAAAGTCCAAAAGTATGATAAAAACTCCGTAGGTGGAACTACGAGGAAACAGGCATGGCTGATTCACATGTAAGTCATTAACACCTCCATAGAGGAAAACTTGGCATGGATATCAAAATTGCAAATGCATAAAGCCTTTATAGAATAATTTCACTACTAGGAATTTACATGTATATCAGCATGCATGTTAAATGATTTAAAAAATATATAAGATTATTCATTGCAACAGTGATTATAATAGCAACATATGAACAAACATCTCAATGTCCATCAATGGGGAATTTGTTAATTAAACCATGATGCAGCTATAAGTAAGAATATGTGACCATAGAAAAGAATAAGGAAGCTCTATATGTATTCATATAGAAAAATCTCCATAAGATATTAAGTAATAAGAGAAAGGTATATAGGATAATGTATTGAGCATGCTACCAGCTCCGTTTCCCAACTGTCTAATTCTTGTCATTTAAGTTTCTTTATTTAAATATAAGTGAAAATATACATATATATTTTATTTTATTGTTCCTCCCCTTTTAAAAATTATAGACATCATGAATTTCATTCCTAACACACCATTCTTCCATATATTTACGGCTAGTCTCCCATGTTAAATAAACTTTTCTAAATCATGTCTTCCTCACTATGCTAGGGAACAGGGCCATTGCCCTCCATTTTCTAATTCTTCTTTAGGTTAAAACAGTGACGATGTACACAAAGTAGATGTTTATTGAGTTAAGAACCTGATTTAATAGATTCCATATATTAAGAGTTGGTTTTGCAACTGGAGACATTTCCCAAGGCCCCGTTGAAACCACTTTGTACAGGAATAGAGTGGGCTCCAGGGAAGGGCGAGGACCCAGTCCGGCTGTTACACAGGTCAGCAAACTGCCATGTGCACCCACCTCAAAGTGTTGAGGGAGGAAAATCATCAGAGTTAGAAATTTGGAAAATATTTTGCTGAGCAATCTTTTTCTTTCTGAGATGTCGGGTAGGGGGAAAATGTTTTTCTGAAATATATTAATAGTCAAAAGCCATATGGGTATTAACCTGGGCTTTTACCCAACTGAATTCCTTGACTTTTAGTGGCTTAGTCACTTACAGGACTAGAAATGAGTATTATGAGTAGTGGGGCCCATATGAGAAACAGTATTATAAGTTCCATTTCCCACCACAGAATACAGAAAGCAGAATCTGTGAAACTTTGTGAAAGTATAATTAAGCAACAGATTATGAGAAAAGAAAACCCCTCTAAAACTAATAAGGGATTTATACATTGAGTGGTCAGATTATTATGATCTCTGAATCCATAATTATCAAGGCTAATATGCAAATTGTCCCCTCGACCAGGAGTTCGACCAGCAGGCAGGCCGGCCAACTGCCCATGTCCCCTCTCCCCCTGGCCAGACTGGCCAGACCCCACCCATGCATAAATTCATGCACTGGGCCTCACACACACACACACACACACACACACACACACACACACACACACTGAGTGGCCAGAGATCATAATGCATTCAGAGATCATAATAATCTGGCCACTCAGTGTATATATCTTTGATTTCAGAGGAAAAGGGAAAGGGGGAGAAAGATGGAAACATCAATAATGAGAGAGGACCACTGATC